ACATGCGTGCATACATGCGTGCAGACGTGCGTGCAGACGTGCGTGCATACATGCGTGCATACGTGCGTGCATACATGCGTGCATACATGCGTGCATACGCACATGTATGCACACATATGTACGTGTATATGCGCGGGGGAAGGGGGCAAACCCCAGCCAAAAGGCCCATGGCAAAGAAGGAGGTGAATACCGAGCGACGCAAAATGCCCAGGGCAAGCGAAGATGGCCGGCTTACGCACAGAACGACCCCCATGCCGCTGGAGTAGGCCAGTGCCGCCAGGGGTGAGAGGGACCCCTGGCCCGGGGCGTGGAGCATCGGCTGGACAATGGCCTCCTCGAGGCGCTGGCGCAGCAGGTCCACGCCACCGAGATCGGCCCAGCTGGCGGTGCCAGGCTCGACCAGGGTGAAGAGCTCCCGGGTGGAGGACGAGCTCCCGGCCCGGCCAGCCGCCGACAGCGACGCAACCTGGTAGGCGCCGGCCGCCGGGGGCAGGGCCCCGTCATGGTGCAGCAACGCCTGGCGGAAGACCGCCAGCACGTCGGCCACCGCATGTGACCGGAGCTCGGCCGCCACAAAGGCCCCGATGGCGGCCGGATCCGCCGGCTGCCGCACTTCGAGACACACCCCGCGTAGGGGGGCCCACTGGGCGAGCGCCACACCGATGGCCCGGCGCGCGGCATCCGTCAGGGGAGGCACCGCCACCGAGGTCTAACGCACGGGCGCCATGTTAGCACATGGCCCCTCCAAGCCAACGGGGGACATGCCCGCAGGGGCGGGCGGGAGGCTGAGCCAGGCCCCAGCGGGCCATCCGCCGCCCCCCGCCCCCCGCCCCCCCCCTCTGGTGCCCGCCCTCGCCCAGCATAGAGAGAGAGAGAGAGAGAGAGAGACGCACCTCGAAAAGACGGGCCAGCGAAGCCGGCACCCGGGCCGGGTCGCGACAAGCCCCAAGCACCTGCAGGGCCGGCCCATGCGTGGTCAACAGGCGGTTGACAAAGCCAAAGAGAATGGCCGGCAGCGGCGACCGTGCCCCGGGGGCCGGTGCCAAGTCCGAGCCATCCAAGTTATCCAGGACCAGCGTCGCCCGGACGGCCGAACTGCCGGGCCCGACGGCCGCCAGCCACCCGGCCAACCGGGTGAGTTGGCCAACCAGTCGATCCGGGCTGTCCCACGGGCTGAGAAGCATCACCCGCCGGGGGGCCGCCGCGTGGGAGCCGCTGCCACAGGCATCGCCCTCGGGCTCGGCCCCCTTGGCCCCGGCCCCGGAGCCGGCCCAAACACAGAGTGACGTCTTGCCACAGCCGGCCGGGCCGGACACGAGAACCGGCCCGGGGGCCGGACTGCCCGGGACCCCGGCCAGGGAGCCCGAGCAGTAGCCGGTCACCGCGGCCAGGGCGCCTCCCTGGCCGTGGAAGACCCCGGGACACAGCCGCCCAAGCCACGCCCCGGCATCCAGCCAGAGGGAGTCCTGCCGAGCCAGGCTCACCGGGGCCCGGGGAGCGCCGGCGGCCGCCGGGCCCTGGGGCCCAGCGCCGAAGCCACTGGGCAGGCCCCCCAGGGGGGCTTCCACATACACGGCCGTGGAGGAAACCACCGCGCACCAGGGACGGAGGTCGGCCGCAGGCACGTCGGCACACAGCGGAACCAGTGCCCGGCATTCGACGCGCACGCGGACCCCCGCACGGCCCGCCAGGTGCAAACGCGTCCCCTGGCGGATGAACACCCCGCCAAGCTGGCTAAGAGCCGTCAGCTCCAGCAGGCGGACCTCCGCCAGGAGGAACGACAGCCCGGCCAGGTGGCGCGTAGCCTCCAGGTCCAGCTGCGTGCGATCGCCCACCGGGACCCCGGCCACGCGGGCACCCGGCTGCATGTGAGACCCAGACACGGCCGACGAATCGGGCGGCAGCCACGCCGCGCGGGACAGATCGAACCCCACCAGGTGCAGGGTGAGCGAGCGCAAGGGCAGGACCTGGGCCGCGTCCATCGGCCGGGACTCCTGCGGCACGTACGGCCTCGCCATGGTGTCGCCCATGGGTGAGGGGGGCGGGGGCAGGACGCGAGGGACGGGAGAGGCAGGCCAAGGGGCCAGGGAGGGGGCGGGGGGGGGGAGGGAAGGGGAGGCCGAGGGAAAGGGCAGGGGCGAGGCAAGGCAATGAATGCTACTGTGCCCGCAGCCGCAGCCGGCGAAGCGCCCGGAGCGGCCCCTCCTGTGTCCGCGCCAGCCCTCTTTGTCCCCCGGAGGGGCGGCGGCCGGAGGATGCCGGCGGCCGAGCCGCGAGGTCGCGATCTGGGGGCCGATCGCCCGACTGCCAACGGAAGCATGGGCCTTCTCGGGCACCGGCGCCGGACGAGGGAGGGGCCGCTCCGGGCCGGGGGGCGGGGGGGGGGGTGCACGCCGGCGCGTGCTCCATCCGGTGCTGCTTCCGCCTGCCCCCGGTGTCCGGCCGCCAGTGTCGCCGCCCTGGCGGTGTTGTCCCGCGCACCTTGATGCACTGTCCTCTTGGCGGCTGCCTCCGGGGAGGGGGTCCCAATGACCACGGCGTCTGGCACAGTGTCCCCGGCCCCGGCGCCCCCTGGGCTGGCTTCGCCTTCGGTCCCTCGCCACCGGCCCCCGTCGGTCCTCCCCTGTCTCGGGACATGCGCTGCGTGGCCGGCGTCTGCCTTTAGGAGGGTGTTTATTCTGGGGCGGCGCAGAGCGCGGGTATGTAGGGGGGGGGGGGGGCGGAGGGGCGCACGCGCGCGCGCGCCTAGAGGACGACAGGCGAGAAGGAGACCGGCGAGACCGGGGCATCCGAGGAGGCGGCCTGTGGCGCCTTCGCTTGCGACTGGGAGTGATGATGGTGGTGGTGGAGATCTAGGGAGGCCGTCGGCAATACCGAGGAAGTGCCCGGGAGGAGGGACCCATTGGCGTGAAGAGGAAGGGCGGCCTGGCCCAAGGAGGGGGGCAGCCGCGAGAGGAGGGACGCTTTGCCCGAGGGATCGGCCGGCGGGGCGGGCGTGGCACCGCCGAACCCCGGCAGCAGGACCCCTGTCGGCAGGCCGGACGAGGACAGGTCCACGCTGGAGATGGCCGGCGTGTCCTGCATCGTGGCCAATGGCCGGCCGGCTGCCAGGGACCCGGCCACAGGGGGATTGGCCCCCACCGGCGGTGAGCTCCACGGGGTGTTGTAGGTATGTGCGGTGGGCGTGGCGCCAGGTGGCCAGGCGCCGGGCTTGGGGCCGCCAGATCCCGGCTCGCCGGCGGCCAGGGCCAGCGTCGACGCGGAGGAGGCCCCAACCGAAAGGTCACAGCTGAAGGCCGGCTGGAGGGAGTCTCCGGACGCTCGAGGACCGGAGTGAGGATGCTGGAGCGGGGCCATCTGGTACTGTTGCTGGTGCTGGTGCTGGTGCTGGTGGTAGTACTGCTGGCCGAGGAGAGGTGCGCCCGGGGGTCCGGGGGCATGCTCCGTCGCGCGCGGCAGGGCCGCCGACGAGAAGGCCGGGTACTCAGAGCCACCGAGAGCCCCCAGGTCCAGCTCTTCGGCCGGCGTGCCGGCCCCGGGGCCCCCCTCGAACAGGGGGCTGCCCCCGAGCGGAGCCCAGCCGACGGCCCGACGCCGCAAAGGCCCCGGCAGCCAGGCCACCAAGGGCCGGTGAACCCGGCGCCAGTGCCGCCGAAGGAGACGCTCCAGCCGAGCTAGTCATAGGTGCTTGCGCTTGGTGCCACCGGCCCGGTCGCGCAGGAAGTACCCGAACACCGGCCGCGTGAGCAAATACACGCAGGCCGTCATGAAGGGAACCGCCAGGAACCAAGCGGCCACGGCCCCGGCGAAGGCCCCGAACACCGGCTTCAGTGGCCCCGGGTCCAGGCTGCTGAGGGCCTTCCACACAAGGGCCAGCAGCTGCCCGGAGGAGGGGACCCCGCCGTCGGAGCCGGCCGGCGCCGGGATCAGCATCCCCCCGAGATTGATGAACACCGGCAGCATCATGAAGCCCACCGGGGTCAGGAGGAGGTTGACGACTGGGCGCGTGGTCGGCCATGCACGGGACCGCGCGGCGGGGGCCGGCGGCGCGATGTCAGCAACACCGGACCAGATGGGGCAAGGCGGGGGGGGGGGCGGGGTGCCGGCAAAGCCGCACAAAGGACGCACCCTGGACGATGGCGCCATTCAGCTTGAACAGCAGCGTGAAGAAGAGACACACGAAGGTCGTGGTGCCGGGCACGGGGAACTGCTCGCGACAGGGGGCCGTCAGGAGGCGGTGTGGGAAAGGGGCCCAGCGTGGGGGGAACGAGGAGGACAGCAAAAGGGGGGACCCGGTCGGCGGGCGTACCATGCCGCCGGAGAAGGCGAAGGCCGTTGCCAGGGCCAGGCCGTGAGGGGTGATCCCCGAGCTGAGAGCCTTGCGCACCGGCTCATAGACGCGCTGGCGAACGAACTCCATGGTGACACGAGGGCAGGAGGACAGGGGAAGCGAGCGGGGACAAAAAAGAGACGGACAGACAGAACAGAGGGCAGGGGCAGGGGCAGGGGCAGGGGCAGGCGAGGGTGTTAGGGGGGAGGGGGGAGGGGGGAGGGGGTGGCAAGAGCCAGGAAACAGGGGGGCTGCTGGAGGGACAACACCGGGCCCAGCCTTGTGCGGGCCCTTTTCTGGTCGCGCTCGTGAAGATCACCGGCCCGGGCACCTCGGCGAGGTGGGGGGGGAGGGGGGGGGAGACGCGAGGACGGGCCTGGAGAAAGCGGTCCACGATCAAAAGCCGATCGGCTGGCAACCGCCGTGGCCCGTCGCCGAGCAACGAGGAACAACCGCTGGAGGTCCTGGCCGGGGCGGCGGCATTGGGCACAAGACGTATCTATTCGCTGGGGAGCCAGGGGGGAGTGGGGGCGGGCCGAGGGGCGAGGTGTCATCTAGGGTGTCCGCGTGATCTGTCGTCCGAGTGAAGCGCCGAGGCGTGATCCTCGGTCGGGATCTGACAACGCGCGAGCAGGCAGCAACACACGAATGTCCACCAGGGGGGGAGGGGGGAGGGGGCATGGAAGAGACAGGGGTGCCGGAGCATCGGCCAATGTGGGCGGGGACCGCAGCCGAGGATGCCTCGGGGTCAGGGCATTCACCCAAGCATTGGCGGCTGGGGAGGGGGGGCACATGCTTGCGCTCGAGCGGAGGGACATCGCACAGGGACACACAGCCGATCGGCCTGCCGCCGTTGGCGCGATCTACCAGAGCGGCATTGATGGGGCCCCGGGGCGAGGGCGCGCCGCACGGACGCGGCCCGGGAAATAACGCCGCACCCCTTTTGCCGCTTTCCGCGCCCGCCCTCCCCTCCCCCGCCTGACTCGCTCGACCTCTGCGCGTGTGTGTGTGTGTGTGTGTGTGTGTCTTGCTTCCCTTCCCTCGTCCCTCGCTGTGTGGGCTATGGTGAATTCCGCCGGTGATGATCGCCTCGCGGGCGGGCCGCTTCCCATTTCGCTGGTCGACCAGGGCCGCGACGCCTGGCTCCGGCGGCTGGCGTTCCGCCCGACGGAATTCCGGCCACAGAATGCCGGAGCCTCCACCAGCAATCAGCCTCTCCACCCGGCCATCCGGCGCGACTTCATGCTTCTGCTGACTTCCTTGACCGAGTGCGCCCTGATGGTTGATCGCATGTTTGCGTTGGGGGGCGGGGGGTGGGGGTTTGCGCCTTGTCTGACACTGTCGCGCAGCTTGATCGTGGAGAAGTCCGTCCGCGGCGGACCCATTGTGCGCCAGCGGCTGACCAGCCTCCTTGGCCTGTACGTGCCTGCTTGGCTCGCTGCCTTTCTCTTCGCCATTTGTCGCTGGCCTCCGGCTTGTGTGGGATGATGGCCCTGTGCCGGCCAGTGGCCCACGTACGTCGACTGACGCTGGTCCCTTTTTTTTTTTTTGGCGCCCTGGCATGGGCTGTCCCGCCAATCTTCCCTCTCTCTCTCCCCCTCTCTGGGTTGGCTCAGCATCGAGTCGGTGCTCATGTCGCTGAGCGTGCCCCGACACCATGGCATCCCCTTCCACGACCCGGAGGCCCTTTCGACCTTCATTGTGCGTGCCCTCTTGCCTGTGGGAGCTGCTGCCGCTCCAAGCCCGCGGGGTGAGCGTGTGTGTGTGTGTGTGTGTGTGTGCATGCCACGACACTAACCTGTATGCCGATACGCCACAGCGGGAGTCCTCCGCCCGGTTACTGGAAAGCAATCGCACCCTCCGGTCCCTGGAGCAGGAGAACCGACAGCTGCTCGAGTGCGTCGCCGCCAGCCCGGCATGCGTGTGCCCTTGCCCCCGCCCCGCCCCCCCCCCCCCCCCCCCCCCCCCCCCTCCCACCAAGGATGTGTCCCCTGCTCTCGCTCTTCCCTTCCTCTTTGGCTCGTCCTCTGACCTTCCTTCTGCCGTCGCAGTGAATGTGACTTGCTCCATTCGCACATCGATTCCCTGGAGCATGTCATCCACCAGGAGACCGAGGCAGTTCGTCAATTGGAGATGTCCCTTGTGCGTCGGCCATGTTGCGGTCGCTTTTTTTCCCATGCATCCTGCCGCCTGTGTGCATGTGTGCCTGCCTGCACACGCACACACACACACACACCCGCGCGCACGCACACATGCGCGCACGCGCCCTCGGTTCCGTCCAAAAGACTAACCCAGTGAACGGGGCGTGGGCCGGGCACGACGCTGCCCCAGTCGCCCCTCCTGCAGGAAGACCCGGACCCGGGGTGTCTGGCCCCGGATGTGGATTTCCTGGTGGCCCACACCATGGATCCGGGCATGGAGCAACTTGTGGAGGAGATCACGGCCGCCGGGGATCCGGGGCGTGCGCGCCACTGGGGCACGACGGTCGACCGCCCCGGGGAGGGTCTCCTGCTGGACCTGCTGGCGGGCGATGAGCTGCTGTCCCGCGCGGCGGATCTCTGTGCACAGGTGGAGGCGGCCCTGGACCGGACGGAGGGGACGCTGGCGGCCGGCCTGGGGCGGTCCGGGCCGGATGGCCTGGTCAGCTTGTCGCTCTTCGCACCGGCGGCGGGGGCGGCCGATCTGTGAAGGAATGGACCTTGGGATTTTTGCCTTCCCTGCCCGTTGTTCCAGCCCCCGGGGCGCCAGAGTGAAAATCCGGGGAAATTGGCCGGAAAAAAAGCATATATCATGACAAAAAAGGGTCCGCGTTTCTGGCCGGGCGCGTGGGGAGGGTCCCCCGTCGGGAAGGGGGGGGGGGGGGTGGTCCTCCCCTCCCCCCGCCCCTCTGGGCGCAGGCCGATGAGAGGGGAACATCTTCCCACGCACACCACCGCGGTGAGACCAACCTCGGCCGCAGGTGGCAAGCATAACAAGGGGCTGGGGACGGGGGAACCTAGGTCCATGGGTCTGGCTGGCCAAGGGTATATTCCATTGGAGGATGACCCTTCCGGGAGCGGCGGGGCCGGGGGGGGGGGGGGGGGGGGGGGGGGTGGGGCCGCGCGCCGGCGATCACACCGACCCGTCCGCAGCCACTCACCGCGCACCCCGCCCTGTGTGCCAGCCGCAAACAGAGCATATGCCGGCCCCCCT